ATGAGAATAAAAAGAACTGGCAATGGATAAGAATATAGCATGTGGCTTAACTCTAGCCTAAATTTGACACTTCAATCTAACATATTGGGTTTAACGTCTTTTTCCTAGTCAAAGACGAATGATTTCACTTTTCCTGTGATAAGTCATAGGAAAACGAAAATCTACAAGTAGGAGGATTAAGGTGTTCAAACATTCCTAGTACTGTCCTAGAGCGGCCCTCACCGCCACCAAGTACAGTAGAGGCATTATCATTAGATAGATTTAAACGTTTGCAGTTAGATGTGCTAACTTTAAGTGTGACAGGTCTTTTGGTGTAATACAGGTAAATGCCGCAGCGCCGCGTGCCTGGAAAGCTGGTCTGTTACGCCGAATGACGGTAATATCGACCATACAATGTAATATAGCCAGCTGCCGCTAAGCCGGTACGTTACGCCGAAGGGTTGTTATTTAGCTATGCAAAATGCAAATTTAGACAGTGCTCGGCCTGTGAACGTGAAGTCCAACCTCAACAATGACCCCCAGGTTTACCAACACGCCGCCCCGAACATGAGACTTGCTGTGGTCGGTTATATATATGTTTCTGGCGAAGGTGTTGGCTAAACCTGACGCAGACGTCATCAGACGAAATGAAGATGGGATATGTTTTATGCACACAAACACAAAACATCATTTTCGTGGAGTAAGTTATTTTTAACATTTGTTTCTACTGCGTGCATCCATGGCGTTCTATGCCTGAATAGGTTAGGATCATGCACGGTTCTAGATAGTCTCTGTTGTATCCAGAACCGTGTCTATCTAATTCCATACCTGAATGGGTTAGGGTTAGGATCAGGCACGGTTCTTGGTAGCTAGTCTCTATGGTATCCAGAACCGTGTCTGTCTAGTCCTACATGTATGCCTGAATAGGTTAGGGTTAGGATCAGGTACGGTTCTGGATAGTCTCCGCGTATCCAAGAACGCAGAGAGAGTTTCTGGCGACGGTGTTGGCTAAACCTGTCGCAGACGTCACCTCTGTTGTGAGATGGAGGTAGGATATGTTTTACGCACACACACACACAACATCATTTTCGTAAAGTAAGTTATTTTTAGTCTTTGTGTCTGCCTCTACTTTTTCTAGATATTATAGTGGAGGGTTCTTATATGTTTAGCTATAGAGTAGGTCTTGGTCAAGGAAAAACTATCGCGTTTTTCAAGCAGGTCTAAATTCACAGCTTGAACTAAACTTTTCCCTAAGTGTGGTGGGTTCTTTAACGTGCTCGAGGTGTGTCTTGAACTATGGCGTCTCTAACCAAAGCTAGGTACTCATTTTCACCTGAGTCGAGTGAGGAAATAGGTGTAAAGTGCCTTTGCCGAAGGCACAACATTGGGGCTTGGGTAGAGATTCAAACCAAGAACCTCCAGATTCAAATTCAACAATCATAACAGTACTACAGATTGTTCCTGCCATTTAGATGTATTTGACTTCCTATAAATCCTTGAATGAAACACTTGACAACCAGAGAAAACAGTTTACTCCGGTAACGCCGCAGTACGCAAACATTATTCCAGCCCCGCTATTAGCCACACTCTAACAAATCAAGGCAGTTTCTTGGCATTTACTGAGAGATTTACGGCGTTAAGTTTATTGTTGAGCACTCAGGTCCATCTGGTGCCGAACACTGTCATTTATAACGGGGAAATTTGCTGGGTAGCGGAGGTCTTTGCCATTGGTACAGAGTTTGCATGGTGAAGTTATCGGTAAGTAAGGTTTGTTATATTAGTCTCCAGAACCGTGCCTATCTAGTTCTATACCTGAATGGGTCAGAGTTAGGATTAGGATCGGGCATGGTTCTGGATAGTCTCCACGTAATCCAAGAACGCAGATTTGCCCTAGGCATCGTTCTGGATACGCGTGGACTGTACCAGAGGATAGCTCGGGATTGCGAACCGATGGCTTTATTTCTTGGACCTGTTACGGTTAGAGATAGACGGAGAAAGTTGCACGTAAAGTTAATGTCTTTCTCAGCGTGCGCTGTCATCACCCTGGTTTTTATGGTGAATGATATACATTTTATAGGGAGAGATTAGCAACTGCAATGGTGTTCAAATTCTATTAAAATTCTTGGTTAAGTCATTGGCCGTGATGTTACTACATGGCAGGGTAAGGTTTGTGTTCTAATTCGAGTGTGACAAAGTTTTGCGTCGGCAACATGAGTCGATATTTGTGAAATACGCGGATACTTATTTTCCAAACATGGTTATTGAAAACTGAGGAGGGAGCCAAAACACGTTTCCATGCAAACACAGAGAAAACTCTGATGTACATGAAATGACAAGCCTTTCCGTACGGTAACCATAGGAATTCAAAAAGGGATTTTTAAATCAGTCTTGTTTTTTGGTACCATGCTCCGTCACGTGGTTGTCAAGGAAGTGACGTGCCCCAGCTTGTACGGTTGCTAGGGAAGTGACGTCACCTGTTCGAACCGTCCCGTCCAGGACACCCCTGTGTCGTCAAAACACGCCATTTGTCACGCCCTGTCAGGCTGAAGTTTACCTGTACAGAAAATTAGGACAGGTGTGTTTACCTGGTCTCCAAGCAGGGGATGGATTTTACACCTAGCTGTTTTTGCGGCGTTGTATTTTAGATTTTTTTTTTACTTCGGCTTACAACAGCCAGGGTTGCCCAGCTAGTGTAGACTGTTGTGAAGGGTCAACCCTGGGAGAAAATAGAATCGTTAGGTATACATACAAGCAATAATTTACCAATTTACATTGCGGCTTTGTGAGTTCTTACCTTTGCCAGGAAACTTTAGAGGGCTTAACAAATTGGCCAATTTAAGCCTGCCAAGCACCTGTTAGTCCGTTTAATACCTCCTAAATCCATACGGACAGTGTAACAATAGCAGACGTGCCTAGCCTGCGGGCTCACAGTGACTGTTGTGGCAGAACGGTATTTTATCTACACACTGCTCATGCACGGTTCTGGATAGCCCACGCGTATCCAGAACCGTGCCTGGGGAAAATCTATCGCGGGGCCTGATCTTAATCCATTCAGGAATAGAACTAGACACGGTTCTGGGTACTAGATGTACCAGTGCGTGCCTTCAGTGTCCACGGGTTGTCCATGGCCACCCTCTCGGGTCGAGTGCTGCGGATTACAGCCAGAATAGCTCAGGATTTACCGATTTCCTTACGGTTTTTTGATCAAGAATGTTTACAGGAAGGAGCGTTATAGGTTTAGAGTTTAACGGAGGGAGTGTAATTTAGTTATCGTTGTATCCAGAACCGTGCCTGGCTGGGGCAAATCTTAGTTCTTGGATGCGCGGAGACTATCCAGAACCGTGCCCGACACTTACCCATGCATTCAGGCATAGAACTAGATAGGCACGGTTCTGGATACAATAGAGACTATCCAGGACCATGCCTGATCCTAACCCTAACCCATTCAGGCATAGAACTAGATAGGCACGGTTCTGGATACCATAGAGACTATATATATCCAGGACCATGCCTGATCCTAACCCTAACCCATTCAGGCATAGAACTAGATAGGCACGGTTCTGGATACAATAGAGACTATCCAGAACCATGCCTGATCCTAACCCTAACAAATTCAGGCATAGAACTAGATAGGCACGATTCTGGATACGGTAATGGCCCCAATGCTGGACCAAAACGTCGGACCGCTGGACAATTTGAAATCCGGCCTGCTGAAAAGAGTCCAGGCATTTTGGCAGTTGACCATGTACTTCATAAATATTTCACAGACACTATGTACCCTAGTGTAAAAGAAATGTTCCTTCCCACGCGTTGTTTAAAGGCTTACAGGGTTGTTCAGCATCCCATAGCGACACGCACTCCGTCTGCCCAAAGTCTGGCATGTGTAACATACCTGAGGAGTAACTAGTTTCTAGTATCATGTTCATGCTTAATGTTCGCCATAATACATTATACCAGAATTACAAGCATTAAGGATGCAAATACTGCATTATAGGCGTCGCCCTCTAGTGTATAGTGTACGAATAATTCATTGTTTACTGTAGGATTTGTATTTAGTTTTTGATTCTGGTTCGTTTTGTGTGGCGTCTGTGCTTTTTGTGGGTCAGCCTCACCAACTGAGTCTGAGTACAAGTAGTGACATGTATTATAATTTTTGCTAATAAATACAAGACAGGCGTAAAACACCAGGAATGAGTAATATCTCTACCTCTGCTTGGAGTCCAGGTATTTTTACCTGCATGTTCCCCATATCTGCTTGGAGCTGAGGCATGTTTACGTGTATGTTTTTGTCACGGTGAGGAGCCGAACTGTTCTTTCCTTACGGGGTCACCTCGGGTCACGTAGAACTACACTGTGGGCTGATGGGTCTTTATAGGGGATTGTGTGTACTCAAGTGGGAACGTTATCACGAAAACAAAACTCGTACAGTGTTTTTGTAGCCTCCATAGCATGCCAAAAACTGGGGGGGGGGGTCTTCATGGTCTTTGGGAGCTTTTATGTGCTATTTTCTGATTGCATATAGACAACATAGCCGGCCTGGTTGAATTACCCCCGTTTTTTTAGAACTGGGCTAATCAGAAAATAGCCGAAGACCACCAAACCCCCAGTTCGATTTTCTATAAGCCTGCAACGGAGGCTATGATTTTTGGTTGATTACTTTCTTCTAGTGTTTCCAACTACATGTATATCTAGATAGTGCCTAGATAGTTCTATGCCTGAAGGGGTTAGGATCAGGCACGGTTCTGGATGGTCTCGTCGTATCCAAGAACGTAGATTTGCCCCAGGCCTTAACATACATGTACCTACCTATAGGTATTTGCGCCAAGCCATACATGCCTATATACCTATCGCATATCCATGCGTAAAATTGTTTTTGCTTTGATATGAACTGGCGCGTTGGCTAAACGTCAGATAATCTGACCACAGACAATGTAAGGCGAAACTTATACCCTGCTATGTAATACACCGTCATTCATTTTTTCTACTGACCATATCAAATATCATATTTTCCTATTCTCCAGGCTGGCCAATAGCAGAGCAGTCACCCAGAGCCGGGTCGCAGACGACTTTTTCGTCAACCTTGGAAAAAACACAATGACGTCACCTGACCCGCTGCCGTCGCCATGGCAACAGTGACGCAGTCGCCAAACGACCCCCGGGCGGTCACCACCTGCACACAGACAGACTTCGCGTCAGAGGCCGGGGACGATGCCGAAGACGTCGCGACGACAGCCTCCGAGGAGGAGAGGACACCTGAAGACGTCGGCCAAGATGCTGAGGAAACTGCCCAAGACGTCGCCAAGGAGGTTTGTTTGTTTATTTATTTATTTATTTATTCAACCAGAGAACATATCGCCCTGGAGGGCGCTTTTCAATATATTACCGGGGGGGGGGATCCCCAAACACAATAAAGTTATCGCTGAACAAACTTATGTACAATCAAAATACATGTAAAATAAGTTAAGTTAATGGTGTGAAGGTATGAATTCGCATATAAATGTACAATTGGCAGGCAGTCTTGTTTGTATATTTGTTTGAAGCGTAAGAGTGTGCTCTGGCTGATTTCAGGTGAGCCAAGAGGAGGATAAGAAGGAGGAGGAATTCGAAGAAGAAGGAGTTGATTTAGACGATGATGACGACAGTGAAGACGCGCCGACGGAAATCAGCTTGGAGGTCCACGTGAGGAAAATTCCAAGGAAGACAGCAGAAGACGATGAAAGTGAAAACAAGGAATGTCTTAAGAATGGAGAAGACAAGGACGGAGAAAACGAGGAGAGAACTTCTCCGGACGGAGAGGAAATGGAGATTCATGGGAAGGGGCTGAACGCCAAAATGGCGGAAAATGGAACCTTCCAGACGGAAATTCCAAACTCCAAGGTCAACGACAATGTCACGGAAAAAACAGCAACTAACAAAGGTGACGGGAAGGACTCGATGGTCAAGTTTGTGGAGGGCAGGCCGCATGCGCAGGGGCCGCTCATGTTGCTTCCGTCCTCCATTACGCATGCGCAGACGCACTACGTCAGGTACGCCCGTTCCAAAACTCCCACCAAGTCCGTGGGGACCGATCCGCTACCCGGAAGTGACGTCAGCCACGTCACGGACAGTTCCGGTCGGGCTGCGAACAACGTGGAGGACATGTATCGGGTTTCCCAGCCTCCGTCCAGCGGTAGAGGTCACAGGCAGGGGAAGGTTCCATCCGTCCAGGGCACCGTGCACGTGAGGCCCCCTGGCGACTCTCCTGTGATCAGCAGGCGGAGTCTTCGCTCTATTCCGTCCCCAGAGCTGGAGATCAAGTTACATGGTGGGTCAAACGACCTTTAAAATCATTTTTACTTTTCCGGTACGAAAGTATTGTTTTGAGTGGGTTGTCTCTGTTTTTTTGTGTCTCATTCTACTTGACCGGAAAGAGTTGGTTGACAGCACATGGGTGTGAGGACGAGTGACATGCAGAATAACAGATGGTCAAAAGGTCAGACACAGGAAATAGGATGAACTTGAAGGTCCTTAAGAATCCGGCGTCGAGTCAGCAGTGTTCACTATGGACTGTGAAAGGTTGCGTAGTTTCATTATCAAAAATGACATTTTCTCTCAATTTTTATATCTTTCCAAAAGGCGGGAACTACTCTGAAGCGCGCAGCCACGTGACCGGAAGTGACGACGGCGACAGTGACGTGGACGAAGACGAGGCTTGGCTGGACACCAGCCGGAAGTTGACCACCACTCCGGCCAGTCTGCCCTCTGACCCGGATATGACGTTTGATCTACTCAGTCAAAGGTATGTCATTGATTAAACTTATTATGTATTTCCTGTGATGTTCATTCTCTTTATTACATGATGGGAGTGTCATTCATGAGTTAAACCTCTGCACGTTAAAGAACCCAACACACATGGCACGACGTATGTCATCAACCCTTTACTAAGTTAGTCTCCACTACACTCTTTTGTGGTTTTGTAGGCTGAATGAATAGTAGAAATTGGCCTTAAAAAGATGTCCAGCTTGCCTGCATAGAGTATGTGAATAGTCAGGCAAACTGGACGCTCTGTGGCCGGCCAACTCCACTGGCCAGTTACATTCTTTTTAGGCCGATTTCTACTATATTCATTCAGCCTGCAAAAGAGTCTGGTGGAGACTATTACTCAATGACTGACCAATCTTCGTGTTCTCTTTCTTGTAGATTCCGTCCGAGACAGGCGAAGAGCGTGACGTCGGGCCGGTCGCGCCACCTGGCGGCGCGGCGCAGTTACTACAGGCAGGCTCTCACCATCATGTCCGCCCGCTGCAACAGCGTCGCGCGCATGCGCATCGTGGACGGGTCTGCGCAGGCGCACGGCATGGACCCGACGTACTACCACTACCCTGACAAGTACATCTACCTGGAACAGGAGCCACAACATCCGCCTATCAAGGTAACTCTCTTTATCGTTAGCCTACTGCCTAGACATCTGTAGCAGTTGGCTTGCGTTTGTTTAAATGAGCGCGGCGGTAAAGCTCTCAGCGAAAAAAAACGCCCTCATAGAATCATACGCAGGTTGCTAGGAAAGTCTGCGTGGGTGGCTACTTGTACATGTACATGATAATTAGGTAGGGTTGCGGACTTTGTTACTACAAGTCATGTTAAAGTCCTCGAACACGGACTTTCAGACGAGATTCCTTCCCATCCAAGGAACAAAGCTAGCCATGTCAGGCACGGTTCTGGATAGTCCACGAGTATCCAGAACCATGCCTGGGGCAAATCTACGTTCTTGGATACGGAGACTATAAAGAACAGTGTCTGGTCCTAACTTTAACCCATTCAGGCATAGATCTGGGTAGGCACGGTTCTGGATACGATGAGCTCCATCACATACATCTTAGGTTACCCTATAATTTTGATATCGTAGGACTTTTAGGTAGACTGTGACACACCCCTTTGGTAACTATTACCAACCCCACAGCCGTGGAACTCATATAACTTTAAGTGGTTAGGGTCATGACACGACCGCGGACTTTGTTACCAAAAGTCATGTTGAAGTCCTCGAACACGGACTTTCAGACGAGATTCCTTACCACCAGTGGAATCCACCCACAAGATGCAGGGAAATCTGTGGCCACGTTATCTGGGGAGCATTTAGTTCTTCAACTCATATCTCATGTCCCCACCACTTGCCATACGAAGCAGGTAATTATAAATTGGCTAAAACAGCAACTTTGGGGAACTTGGTGTCTGCTATGCATTAACTGTTGATCTAACGTTGCCATCGAAGTTCCCATCGAGTGAACGCAGCTATGAGCTATATGGCCAGGCAAATCTAGAGATAAGATAAATGTAACTTGTCACGGTTTGTTGATTAATGTTGACGCTCCACAGGTATGCGGAGGAAACCTGTATTTCGAGCCGATGGAATGTCACGCCAAGTTATTCTTACTTATCAACTGATTGATATATTGATATATTGATATATTGATATATTGATATATTGATATATTGATATATTGATATATTGATATATTGATATATTGATATATTGATATATTGATATATTGATGATATATTGATGATATATTGATGATATATTGGTGATATATTGATGATATATTGATGATATATTGATATGTTGATGATATATTGATGATATATTGATGATATATTGATGATATGTTGATGATATATTGATGATATATTGATGATATATTGATTGATTGATGAATTGCTTGCTTGTGCAGGTATGGCGGGGTTACGGAGGGAACCTGTACTTCGAGCCGATGGAATGTCACATGCTACACTGACTGCTATACTTACTGACCAACTGATTGATTGATTGATTGATATATTGATTGATAGATAGATTTATTTTTTGATTGATTGACTGTGCAGGTATGGCGGGGATACGGAGGAAACCTGTACTTCGAGCCGATGGAATGTCACGCCAAGCCGTACGCAGACCCGGAAGAACGGCCGAGCCATCGTGGCGAGACCGACAGCGCAAAGGTACCAGTAGTTTCTGGACTTGTCTGTGCTTTTGTGGGTCGAAATAACACTGGTAATAATACGCCAAAAAGCAGTTACTCAAGCAACTGGATATGATTTTGGTTTCAGCTAGTATATACTAGCTTTCGTCACTGACGAAAGTAACTGCTTTTTGGCGTATCGTATTACCTGGATGTCTAACCTTCATCGACGTATTTAAGACTGATATAGTGTTAACATACACAATGTAGATTGAATATTCGCCTTCTAGCTGGGTTTTTACCACTCGGCTGTGGACCACTCTGCTGTGGCACATTCTGACACAAGAAATCGGAGATATTAAGTTGTTTGAGGATAACAGAGCATTAGATTGTTATGCTAGACCGTCCCTATGTGAAGGTAAGCATTATACATTTGCTTTTGTTGCCTCCCTTCAGGGTTCCAGCAAGCCCGCCCGCCTGAGTACGGCCCTCAGCAGCCGGACCTCCAAGTCCAGCGGGAGCCACAAGTCCAGCGGGAGCCACACCACGTCCAGCTCCGAGCACAGCGCCAGGTCCGACCCTGCCGACCGGACCCGGGCCTTCGCGCTCACCGCCGGGAGCCACGCAGGGTCCGAGCACAGCAACAGGTCTGGTTTTAGTTTTTCACTTACTTCACATATACTGTATTCCCGTAAATAATCTGAGTGCATTGTGTAAAGAAAAGTGCCTATCTAGTTTTACTATGCCTGAATGTGTTAGGGTTAGGATCAGGCACGGTTCTGGATGGTCTCCGTGTATCCAAGAAGTTCAACATAGATTTGCCCCGTTTCAGGTTTCATAAAATATTGGACAGTGTACACAAATCTTGCATTCGTTTATCAACCTACTTATTCATTCCTTCCTTCCCCCAGGTCGGACCCAGGCGACAGAAGCCGGTCCTTCCCGCTCACCTGCGTGAAGCTGGACAAGACGGTGGTCCTGAACCGGAACAACTCCAACCTACAGGAGGACTTACACAACATCGCCGGGATAGAGGCTGTCGGGAGCCTCAGGATCAGCTACCCTAAACACAACAACAAACAAAAACAACAACAACAGACCCCGCAAACACCACCTCAATCCAGGGAGAGACGCACTTGCAAGTCCGCTAAAATCTGCAAAGGTTTAACGTCGCGAGCGAGAAACAATCTGAACGGTAAGGCTAGTTTTCCCGGGTTGGCTGTGGAGGGAGAGACCAAGTCGCCGAAAACCTCGCCACGGAACCAAGTCTTTGGGGACCACACAAGCTATATGAGGACTCGGTTTATAGAGCCTGTGGTTAGGCATGTGGATAGGAGCGAGTCGTACGTACAAGAGGGTGCGAAGACGCCGTGCGGGACACCTGTCACACCTGAGCTGTACGGTTACCATGGCGACAGACTCCCGCCGCTGGAGCTGGTGCAGGCCAGTGTGCGCAGGCGCAGGGATCAGAGCCCGGATGTGGTCATCCCGTCCGTGCGCATGCGCGACGGCAGGACCTCTACCGCGAGCTTTGAGACGTTTTCTACCGTTGGGAATGAATAGAGGAAAACAGCCATATTTCAATCACTCATCTACAAGCATGTACTTTTGAAAAAAACTCTTTACGTGAAATAAACTCTACTCCAACTTTGGAATTTTTTATCGAATCTCTGGGCCTTCATCATCTTTCTGACCCAAGTGCTGTAGACACGTGATTTACTCGCACGTGTGACGTCGGCACTGTGTCAAAGTTCGTCGGAAGTTGGTACCGCCCCCCGTCCCGGTTGAGAAAAAGTTGGTGTGCCCTGATCAATCAATTCTTAAGAACAGTTTATTTCTCATATGATTTACCGACTCAGATGGACTTTCTTGCAAAGAAGAACGTTTGTAAGCAGATTCTATCATTCTATATTTTGGCCAAGAAGATCATGAATCAAAATGAGAACATACTTGTCATAACACCTGTACATGTGTTCCCCACTGTCAGGCAATTTCTTGTTGAAAGCAGGGACTTCATAATAGCACAACAATGGCACGTTATTCTAACAGAACAGTAATAGGACGATAATAGGTCGGTACTTTCTGAAAGATATGAACAGTTAGGTAACGGTATAGGTACACAGAATGGCATGTTACATACAATGTTACATAAAGTGTAAATATACAAAGGTTAAGCATATATTTTAGAGGTGTAAATTGTGCATAAAATGCCCAACAATATATATTTATTTCTACAAAATTGTATCATAGCCTCTATTGGGAATGAATAAATGAACTATCATTGCTATCTTTTTTTTCTTATCATTTTTCGTTGTTATACTTTTGTTTTTGTTGGTTAGCTAGTGAAGAATTATTAAAGGTGGGCCAAAATGACAAAAGAAAAGAAACATTTTACTGTATAATGCCCTCCAATTTGCGTCAAGTGACAAGCTACGAAGCTAGCTGCTGTTCATAAATATCTCGCTAGAGGTCTCTCGTAACTGGTCACACCGACAAGTCCATAAGATCCCATAAGGATACCACTTTTGCAAACTGTGCGACACAGCACAAAACGGACATTCAAAGTCTAACTTAAATTGTATGCTCTGAATTGTGGTCAATATACCTGCCTTAATGTGTAGACCAATCAGAAAAATCCATTTGCTTCCTCCATGTGACGTCACCTTGAGATATTTAAAACGCCCATCCCAACTGGAAAAACCACCTTGCAGTGACGCAGTATGGCTGACCTTCACACAGTCTTTAACAAGACAGACGACAGCAAGCCTCGATTCTTTTTCTCAGGGCAGTTTCCTTGACACTTTTTAACACCTAAGACATTCATCGGACGTAAGACATCGTCTAGGAATCCATGTGTGAAGGATTTAGATACCTGTGCGCCAGGTAAGGTTCTTAAGCCAGAAGAAGACTTACCTGTTTTGTGGGCGTTGTTGTCTTTGGTTCTTAAAATGGCGACCGTAAATTGGTGTTTACAATCCGGCAATCTATTTGGATCGGATCGTCTTTATTTCTGTAACATCCGTGTCCATAATATCACCAGGGTCCATAATATCGCCACCTTGAGAAATAGTGTGCTTTGATCGGATATTTTTACTGCAACATACTTTAAGTATGCACTCCTGCACACATCAAATGTACATACCTAAGGTCTGTTGCAGTAAAAATATCTTTAAGCACACTTTTTCTCAAGGTGGCGATATTATGGACCCTGGTGATATTATGGACACGAATGTTACCCTTTATCCTTATGGCTAGTCTTACAGAGTTCACACAAAATAAATACATGCATGGTAAAAGAACACACATAAGGGTACAACATTTTATATTATGAAGTTCATATTATTTACAAACGAAATGAGCATGATATACAACCAAATCACAGATAAAACATGAATCAGTGGCCTTAACTTACTATTCTTAGTTCTAAACTCCGCATGTGGTGTGACGATATAACTCTTAACTGTTGTAAACGCAATGCATGTGTACTAGTCTCCCAAGTGTACCAAAGAAAGAGACGATACAAAGAACGCTCTGTTATGGCACTTCCTCGTTGGGTTGGGCGGGTTTAACTTAGTTACCAAAAGAGCCTCATAAGGGTTTGTTTTCCTCCATTAGATTGAAGTAAACAAACATCATGGCGGCCGAGGCAACGTTCTATTTCACCACTACCGTCATGCTTTGCGCCCGCCTGCTCCTTGCCGAAGCTTTACAGGTTCAGATCCCGGAGGTAAGAACATTTTTCTCAAAGATACTACATTGTTTCTACGGTGTTTTAAACACACAACGTATGAAATAATTATGCAAATGTGTACATATATATGCAATAGTCAATATTACACAGATTTCCTTATATATATGTATAGTCTCTACCAGATCTCTTTGCAGGCTGAATAAATAGTAGAAATCGGCCTAAAAGGGGGGATTTAATTGGCCAGAGACGTTGGCAGGTCAGAGAGGGTGAACGGAACGGAAATGAACCCTCTCTAGCTCTCTCTCTATTACAACTCCTGCAATCAAATGTGCAAAGATTGAGTGTAACAAGCCGTTCGGTGTGATATAGCTAGCTGCCGCCGCGCCGCGTGCCTGCAAATGAGTCTGGTGCAGACTATTATTTTGAGTATGTCCAGTATGGAGATATACAGATACTGCATTGGGTGCCAGTATTAAAAGTCTATCTAAGCTGGGCTGACAGCATCTACATGTATATCTGATCGTGATAATGACGTATATAGCTTTATAACTTTGCTGTTCAATATTTTCAAGGATGCGCCAATCGGCTTCAAAGTGGTCCCACTTGACCCTGGGAACGTGACGTTAGCAAACCAGCCTGGGAACGACACTTCGTCAGCCAATGGCGAGGATTCTGCCCAGACGATCTACAAGATTGTATCCGGAAATAAGGCAAGAATTATCATGATAATTGGGGTGGGGGGGTCCCGACAATGCTCTACGCTGAATTCGGAAACCTCTCGATTACGCTATACGATAAATTCCAAGTGGCTACAACGCATTACGTAGAATTAAAACGCCAAATACGCTCTACACAAAAATATTAGAGCGGTCCGTCTACGCTCTACGTAGAATTACAACAGCCGATTACGCTCTACGGAAAAGAGCTTGCGGGCCCCCATAATTCTGGTAAGATAGCCAGAAAGTTAGATTTAACTATGGAGACATTTGCAAAGCAAAAACATAATGTTTACCTCCACACTGTCTAGCCTAACAACTATTCTGTAGTGTTCTTACTCGAACACATTCATATATATGGTGACCAGCCCCTGCAACTTGCTACATAATGTAATCCAACACCACAGGGTGTCTGCTACAGCACAAATTACCATGGTGACAGCTGCTGTTTGTTTTACATTTGCTACTGAAAAAGATGACGTATTTCCACCCAGAGGCGGCTAACAAATGTACGTGTTTGTCATGCAGTACCAGCGGTTTTCGCTAGGGGCGTCGTCCGGCTTGGTTACCGTTGCTAAGGCGTTGGACCGAACCATTGACGCCCAGTATGACCTCAACATCAGGATCACCACCGAACTTAATGAGGTATTATGAGCATATCTTTTATCAAACGGTTTAGAAGTGGCCCATCCGGCCAAGCTTTATAAAGCAGCCAATACAGAAAGTCTTTTGCAAATACATGCCCGAGGACTAATTGCAGTTACAAACAACATAAGAAAGAAAATACAGTGGTGTGTGATACTATATCTGCGTCTAGCATTATACTATATTCTACAACATACATGGTACTAGTTTTACTGGGTTTAAAAATGTCCTGGCATTATTTATGTTTCAGGGGCATTTGCCTTTGGCACTTAAGCATGCAGGGTTGTAATTGTGATCTTCCTTACTGTTTCGGTAGCTTTGCATATAAACCACTATTGGCAGATTTGCATATCACGGAGTCTGATAATGTAGAGAATGGTGAGTCTGTGTGTTGGATGTATCAAACCGCCGGGCACATCTTCCGAACATTTTGCCGTATCCAGAACCGTGCCTGTCTAGTTCTATGCCTATTTTCTATCGTTACTATCCAGAACCGTGCCTATCTAGTTCTGTGGGTTAGGGATAGGATCAGGCTCTGGATAGTCTCTATTGTATCCAGAACCGTGCCTATCTGGTTCTATGCCTAAATGGGTTTAAGGTTAGGATCAGGCACGGTACTGAATAGTCTCAGCATATCCAAGAACGTAGATTTGCCCCAGGCACGGTTCTGGGTACGTGTGGGCTATCCAGAACCGTGCCTGAGCATGGTTCTGGATAAATACAGTCCTAGACTCAACACCTTTGTTTGACGATTTCCCCCTGCCCTGGGTTGTGACAATACGCCAGGTAACCTTTTGTCGTCAACAGAATCGTGTCTATCTAGTGCTATGTCTAAATGGGTTAGGACCAGGCACGGTTCTGGATAGTCTCCGCGTATCCAAGAACGTAGATTTGCCCCAGGCACGGTTCTGGATACGTGTGAGTTATCCAGAACTGGGGATAAAGCAGTGGTCGGCTCTGGATACAACATCTTTGTTTGACGATTTCCCCCTGCCCAGGTAGTGACGTTGCGCCACGTCCAGGTGCAGATTGACGTGACCGACGTTCCCGGGTATCCACCTGGCTACAACGAGTCGTGCGCGACGTCACACGTCACGGGCAACAAGGTGCGACCGGGATTTGTTTGTTTGTTTGTTTGTTTGTTTGTTTGTTTGTTTATTTTTCCCTGCATTTTCCCTCTGGTCTCTCAGTCACTGACGAAAGCTAGTGGATAGTAGCTGAAACGTCTGACGTTTTCAAAATCATATCCAGTTGCTTGCGTAACTGCTTTTTGGTGTTTGTTTGTTTGTTTGTTTGTTTGTTTGTTTGTTTGTTTGTTTTATTTACGTAGGGTGGCCCAATTGTCACTGTCATACCACTGCTTTACAGTGCGGCCCTGAAAATTTTACCAATTTTGCCGCTTGCTTCTCTTGCATTGTTAACATTCCACTGTAAGAATCGTCAAACATGTGCCTTAGCTAGATTCCATGTGCGAGAAGACACGATACGCTGGAAGGGTTAAAGGCCCGGGCACACTATACAGCCATAATCACCCGCAAACCGGCCGATAGCACTTTTAACACATTTTTAAACTCTTCTATAGGCTTTGATGCTGAACGTGTCGATGAAGGTCTTCGCTCCTGGTATTCAGATAGACACCGAATTCTTTTCACCCGATCAAAACGCCCTGGTCGCAGTGGACACAGACAACGATCACTGTGAGTATGACATTAAGAAGGCTGCTACAATTCCTCCAGCTAGATCTAACAGACTGTTACCATGTCTACAGCTAGATCTTGAACTGTCACCATGCAAAGTCGAATGAATGACTGGTTTATTATGTAAAACATCGCAGCCATCTCGCTGAAGTACGTTTCACTTACATACATGAAATAACACGCAACTCCAACGAAAAGCGTAAAATATTACAAAGTATTAAAATGAAATAATACAATAACTAAACTTCTGAGTGTGGTTTTGGCCTTTAATTTACAACGCACTATTAAGTCTAAAGCAATCTGATTTTGGGACGATTCTGAATCAAGATACACCAGCGACTTTTAAAAAATCATTTTTTTAATCTTACATCCTGACATTGGAAGGTGGCATGTCCTGGACTGATGTGTTCAACACCTTGTTCCCCCTCCAACATCTGAACAATGAGACTACACGGGTCTACTGTGAGCCTGCGCCAAGCTACCCATCTGACAGCCGTGGCGGGGTCACATCACCGATTGACATAAACATCTTGCAGGTAACAGGATCTTTAGCCTAAGAAAGGCGTAACTATAGGCTTAAGTTTTTTTTTTACTGCTGCCTATGTTTATATTTATGTGTGATGTAATATTCAGTCTTTACTTTTTCTTTGAACCTGTATTTCGAAATAAAATAGTTTAGTTTGGTGAAGAAAAACCAAATAGATGATTATTTGAATAATTTATTTCTTAATTCAGTCAATTTCATTTACTCATTCATTTCACCCATTCATTTATTCATTCATTCACTCCTGTTCTCCCAGCCTCCCTTCAGCCCAGGCGACCCGATCCAGCACAAGCTCCACCCCCCGATCTGGTCCCTCATGTTTACGGACACCTGGGTGCAACAGAACTCTCCTTACGTGGTGCTGGACATGTCCGTGGGCCACCTGAGGGCCGGCGTGTGGACCAGCTGGGTGTGCCGGGCCACCGGGGATCCACTCAACATGGACGTGTACCTGGCACTGGCACCGGCAGGTCAGTAATTTGGACATTATCAACATTGAATCTAATAAGTATGTATTTAACTGTTGTACCCAGAATCGTGCTTCATTCCGAACCTGAATAATGCTAAGGGAAGGTTATGCATAGTCCACGCGTATCCGGAACCGTTCCTGGGGCAAATCTACGGTCTTGGATACGCGTAGACTATCCAGAACCGTGCCTGATCCTAACCCTAACCCATTCAGGAATAGATCTATCCGTATCCCTTAAGAGCGCATCTTTCAGCAGACCCTCAAACACTTTGCCTACACCATAGCCACATTCCCAACACTCTAGCCACGTCCACCATCGGAGGGGTTTGCCCTAAATGGTTATGGGGGGGGGGTCTACGATAAAACACACAGGTAGTACCCCTGTTCTCTAACATGTTTGTTTTCACCAAGTGATAAATCGTCCACGTATTTCCACCGATCGTCGTGAGATTCACTCGCGTCATTGACCATACATGAGAAGATAACGGGGCCTAGTTTGGTGCCTTGGGGCGCGCCTGTAGATAGTGTTTCCCAGTCTGACATGGCAGATCTGTAGCATACTCTCTGTCGTCTCCCAGTTAGGAAGTTTACAATCCATATGGCATTATTGAGTACCCATGTGCATAGACTCAAGGAAAGTATCTTGTGCCTTCCCAAAGGCACAAGATGGGTGGCATGTCAGGGTTCGAAACCGGGACCTCTTGGTTCCGAGTCGAACACTCTGCCATTACGACACACGACCCCACTGTTGTATGTTTTTGACCATAGGTTGCCCGCGGGGTAAGTACGGCGGCCGATGCGACCGGGACTGTCTGTGTAAGAACGGCGCCTCCTGTCATCCCTTCAACGGAGCCTGCAAGTGCCGGTCCGGCTGGAAGGGCGTCGCCTGTGATATCGGTAAGGATATGGTATCCGGTCTATCGCGGTTGGGGCGGGCCTTTCTTCGGGGCTGCTGAAGTTTTTCCCCGCCCGACTTAGCTAGGTTGCCCGGTAGATTTTCACGGAAGGAGTTTGATTAGCCCCACCACGATCTATTCAACTCCTACCGGGCGTAGGAGTCAAAGAAGTACTCTGTTATCATCTCCCTCCAACATAGTAGAGCTACAACAGTATCTTAATGACATTTCCTTATGTTCCTTACTACCTTGATAGTCTACATGACTTTCACGCCTACAAAACGGCAATGTTTTCAATGTAGTTCAAAACTTTATTTGCTGTACAGATAGATTCTCGTAATTGATAGATCAACAACTTGTCATGTTTGTATTGATCTTGGTTTTACCCACCTTGTAATTATGCATCTTGTCAATATGTTATACACTCGTTGTATGTTTTTAGTAGAAGGTGTTATACATGTATCAAGCAACTTGTGCTTTTTGCCCAATACTCAATAAATATATTTGAGTAAATAAAAAGAAATTGTTCAATAAAACATGTTAATTGCCCTCAGACGTTGTGCTAACTTTGTTACAGAAAAATTCTGCCAACAACTGATGGCACCTTCTAACGGCAACATCTACGGCGGTAGTTCTTATGGGGACATCGTTACGTATTACTGTGACCCTGGATACAAGATCAGCGGCGATGGAGAACGAACTTGCCAGTCGGACGAGACCTGGAGCGGCACGCAGCCTTCATGCGTCCGTAGGTGGTTTCTTTAAATTTGTTTTCTATGAAACTCTCGTTTAGTTTTCAGATTTTTCCAAAGTGAAATATAGTTCTTTTGACAGACGTTTACAACGTATTTGAATTGTGTCTTTGAGCCTCAATGAAATAGCGCGTATCTTTTCCTAATTACCGAAATTTCCTAAATAGTTTCATGTTTTAAGTAACATATGATCCAACACAAAGAATGGTTCTCACCCACACCTGGTTTTCCTCCATAGACTGAGGTAGTGAGACGTCACACTTCATCTGGCTTCTTGGAATTGTGACTTTTCAAGACACATTTGCCCCAATGTCTACGTCACAGTAATGATAATGATAATGATAACAATAATAAATGGTTTATTGATCAGTTATTACCCGTGAAATTGTAGCCTTTTATAGACGTTATCATTTCCATGTGAATATATATATATATATATATATATATATATATATATATATATATATATATATATATATATATACTCTACTACTAGTGTACTATATAGTATATATATATATATATATATATATATATATATATATATATATATATATATATATGTTCAAAAAAAGAACCTCAAAGACGTGTAATTACATTATTTACGAGAGAGTTACGGTAACCATAGACCTGTTTGTCCCCTCCACCTCACGTGCCCGCACGTAGCTAGACATCATACTGCATGCTGCGTCTTTGCAACACTTCTTCCCCATCCCTAACATTGTTATTTTTCATGTGAGCCTTCTAATTCAAGACATCGTTTAATTCATTCCACCAGGATATTGCCAGGAGGGAAATGGAGCATCCTACCGAGGGACAGTCTCTGTGACTGAAACAAACAAGACTTGTCAACGCTGGGACAGTCAGACACCCCATCCCCACCGATGGACACCTGTTAATTACCCATCGGCGGGGTTGGAACATAGCTACTGCAGAAATCCTGATCCCCACAGAACCGGGGTTTGGTGCTACACTACGGATCCCATCAAGACATGGGAGAATTGTGACGTACCAGTATGTGGTAAGGTCTGATTCTGCATTCTTAATAGATGGTGGTGATACTTCTTCGTTAATAATCTACTTTCCTTGATTAATATACTACACCTGCTCGTCGACATTTCAACGTTTCCATATACGTGTATGCCATACGTAGTAAAACGCAGGGTTGTACTATATTAAAGCACCCAATAAATTCGGCTAACGTAAACTACCAGGCCCCATTCTATGCCTGACTACCGTGTTGGTAACATGGGCATCGGGCTGGCTAAGACGGTGACCAAGACATTTTGACACAATAGTAATAAATAGAAATAAATATCAAATAAACAAATAAATATATACACACACACACACACACATATATATATGTGTGTGTGTGTGTGTGTGTGTGCATATTATATATATATATATATATG